CCGGTAAAAGCAGATTATAACTTTTCTATTTTACAGAATTATATAAACTTCGAGAGTTTAATACACTAAGGTCTTCATAACCCTTACTGTTTGGTATCAATAAATCCCGTTTTTCACGGGCTTTCATTTGGTATAAAATTCATCATCTACTCTATTTAAAATGATGGTGTTACCCCCCTGGAATAATATTTTTCCCAACCGTGTACTTGACCTCAAGTGCATTCACAAGGGCAGTGCCTCAAACAGAAGTAGATGAAACGCTTTTTTGCCGCAAAAATTCATTTATCAGGTGGTGCAGTGACGACTCGATCCTCTGAGGTGGTACAAAAGGCCTCCAATACTTAGGTGGGGATAGACGCCGCTGACATGTTAAAGAGTTAAAAGGCGTTGAAAAGCAAATTTTAAATATAACGGGCTCTAACGCGTTAATTTCATATCTTTTCTCGAACACATTGGAACTAGTAACAAAGTTATTTTCACTGCGTTTGAACTCGTAATTTTCTTTTTGAATGCATTAGAACTGTCTTTCAGGTGGTAGAATTATCTGAGGGATGCAAAAGCCATCAATTGCAAAATGAAAGTTTTCTATTTCTGGTGGGTGCAACTGCGCCCACTAACACCCATCATAAATCCGCTATCGACTACTGGTTGGCATCATTACTAACTGTGGGATTCAGAATCAGGTTGTAAAAGCTTATTATTGTTGTGTTTGTTAATTCAAGTGGATGAAACTTTTACCTTGAGGAATTTGGGAGAAGCCATTTTATTTATATCATGGTCGTTTTCATTTTTCGAAAAACGGCTCTTGCACACATTTTCAAACAACGAGGAACGAATGAATGAATCCAAATAAAATTTTTAAAACTAGCAATGATGACTATAAATGTGTGTCATGGAATCAATAAATCTATTTTTTTATTATTCAGAACTTTCAGATGCAACAGATCGGCGACGGTGTGGAGTATGGGCTCGTATGAATCAGTTCGATCTATTATTATGTAGTGTTTTATAACTTATTACACCTGCTTGTTTTCTCTAGCATGTAGCTAAACAGTGTTTCAATCAAATAAGTATTTCATATTTGTAGAAACACTATTTCCTACGTCATAATATTGTGTCACATTTCTAGCTTCTTTAGATCCAGAATCCTACATAGTAGGAACGTACTTTCCAAAAAGTTGGTTGAAAACACCTAAGCACCTGGTAGTGTTACAATTCAACGTCTACTACTCGTTTCCTTGAGTAGTACTGCACATTTTTAAATAAACTTCTACTAAAAATATCACATCTCAATATCATTGGTAGCAACCATAATGTTTTAGTCATCCAACTTCTCTTAAGTATCCGACACATGTGATGCATTGCATTATTCATCTATTTCATCGCCTCTTCCTTTGTTGTAGATACGGTTTATTAGAATCAACATATTCTTTATTAAAAAGAAAAGAAAAATTAACATTTTCTACAACAAACGCTTTTTGAAACTGGAAAGCTATGTACAGACATCAAAATCAAGCTAATATAGTAAGATAAAATGATAGGATATACGAAAGCGACTGTCCCAGACGCAGAAGCCTAATAAACAACTAAGTAAAAAAAACAAAAGCATCAAAACGGATATGGAGAAAACTAAAAACAAAATAAATTATTAGAGTATTCAGTTTTTCAAGATTAATTTAAGATTAACTAATCTTTGTTCGAACTAAACACATGATTTGGCATCCTATTTGATTTTTTATCAATACCATCGTGGTCATCATTATTCGAACCCCCATTCACTATTTTATTAATCATCGTAGAAGAAGTATCTTGTGTTCCAATTACCGATGCTACGGATAATTTTACCTTCATTTCATCCGATAATTTTGGTAAAAATCCACGTGGAATTAAAAACGCTGAGATGTTGAATAAATCAATAAATACTTTGTATCGATCACTGAATGAAAACAAATGAATGGTAGAAAGTAAAAAGGTGTCTCTGAAATTTCCCCTAATTGTGCTTAGTCTAATTTATAGCCTTTCTTCAACATTTCTTTAACAATTTCAATAATTATTTCTATCATTAGTCATACCTGCATGTCGAACGCAAATAACTATAACCAGCGGAACCTCCAGTGCCTTGTTTATTTCCAATTTGTCGTTGAACAAGAATAAGATGACCATCTAAAGAGAAGATAGAAATTGAACTGAGTATGCAAGATTTTAATTAAAAGAATTGTATTTACATCGCCATTTTGTTATTAGAGCATCAATATCCATTAATAATGATATTATTTGATAGGGTTGTTGAAATCTTGGTTGTTCACGATATAAAGATACCATTAGTGCACCTTGCATAGCACGATGACTTATACGTCGATCACCACGTTGAACAAGTTGATTATGAAATTTTTCATCAAATATCGAACGAAATATATCAGCTGTCTTTTTAGCATCTTCCAGTGACGACTCTCTTGCCGTAGGATTTGGTTCATCCTAATAAAAAAAGAAAAACGCCCAAAAATAAAAAGTTGAGTTGATCTGAAACAAAATAATCTTACTTCTGCATTTGTTTGTAAAAATTTGAAATATTCTCCGACCGATCGTTTATAAGATTCCCAAAAGTTGAATGTCTTATCTTCGAGTCCTGGTGTTCTCTCAAGCCATCTCTAAAAATGTTAAAACGCTCTGTTATTTTAAACTCTTTTTAATTAGCTTAAACTTACTTCAATCAATTGTAATAATGTTGGTTCATCTACGGAATTTTGTAATTCATTTCTATCGTGTCCACTGGGGAATATATTTGTATAATGACTATTATTATATTGTATTCGTGAATTATCAGTTAAACCAAATTTATTTTCAATTAAACGAAATTGTAAACTTTGAAAACCACTTGCCGGTGATAAATATGAACGAAATTCCATAAAGTCCAATGGTGTCATTGTTTCCAAAATACCAATTTGATCTACTAATAAATGCCATATTTGAACACAACGATTCAAACGGTTAACAATCACAAACATATGCGATTCATCCACTGTTTCTTTATCAAATATTTCACGAATAGAATCAATTTCATAGATAATTTGTTTAAACCATAATTCAAATGCTAAATCGGGAAAAAAACAGAGTATATAGTATAAAAGAGTTTTTCTACTTCATCGATGACATTGAATTACATTCACAGTAATTTATTTATACACGATATAATTTATACATGCAGAAGTTATTTAATAATAGTTACCTTGATGTATTATGATAAATAAATGTTCATCATGCACGGCTGATTTATTAATATCATGTTTAGCACTTAATAGTGTTTGTGCATCTAATATCTTTTCCAGTTGTAAATAATTGTGATATGTCACTAATTCATCACTTGATGGTAAACGTTTTAATTCGGGTTTTGTTGCCCGATTATCATAACCAGTTAATGATAATATTTCAGTTAAGGCATCATTGGTTGCTGTTGTACCATTGAGAGTTAATTTTGATGAAACTGTGGAATTTGATTCATTTGTCGGCGGTGGAGTTAGATCATGTTCGATAAATCGTGCATATGGACAGGACATTGTTGTTGTTTTTTTCGACTATTTATTCTAAAACAACAAATAATATTGAGTTGTATCTGATCTACGAAAACGATAAGACTGTAATAGATTTAAAACTCATGCAAATCGAATGGAAGATGAAGAAAACACGTGACGTATATGTATCTTTGGCAAAAAGTAGTCACCATTATGACAGTTGATTCTCATCGAAAGACTTTGTCAATGATCTGAATAACTATTTTTTAAAATTGCACTGTATAAAAGTTTGAGTGGATTTTTAAGTTATGAAGTATTTACGTATATAACTTACTTTATTGTAACAGTTGATTAAAGTTTTAGTTTAACTTGTCGTCTGAATTTTTTGTTGATTTATAGTACTGACACTATTTTCGAATAAAACTAAGAACGATAGAAAGACATAAAACTATAAAGAAATAGAAAGAATAAAACTATAGCTATAGACAGCTAGCTATCATTTATTTAATATCGTTTATACATACTTTTTCTGTTCTATTCTCTCTTCTCATGGACATAATTCAATGAAGGACACAAGTCTTATATAATTATTTAGAAGGGAAGAAACGCGAGAAAAAAAACATTTTCGTCTTTTTTTTTAAATTTCGTCGTACGTTTAGCACCACAGTGACTCAAGAAAAACAATTGCTTTTATTAGCAGTCCTAAGCTATTTCTTTATTGTTTATAAAGCAACGTTAGTATGACACAGCAATATGCAGTAATTGCTGCGAATATTGCACCGAATAAGGGTGTGGTTGTATATGGTTGTAGACTGTTATTGACTGTAAATGTGTAAACAACTGTTTTTTAACACCTATGACGTTACAATCGGACTGACACAACAACAATCATGTTGTTTTATAAACTTGAAGCTCATAAAAACGTCTGCGTATGCGCGTCACTACTGACGAAAGGTAGGCTTCTACATATTGACTGTCGATGCAAAAAACTTTAGTTTTTCGCCGAACAAGCTCAAAAGTTTCCTAGAAAAAAAGTGAAGTGATCACATTTTTTCCTATTTCGCCTAATGATTCAACACTATTCTGGGTCACCACTGATAATGTCCGGAAATATCTCTTGATTTCCTGAATTGTTTTTATCTCATTCTAGCAAAACTCGAAATATTTTTCTTAGATTATATTTCCCACACAGGTTACATAAATTCTCTCTTCAGAAATTTCGCAGAAATTATTTTTTCCCTGAATGCCACTCGTGTCAACTAATAGATTATGCACGTCTGACTTCTGGTACCTACCCTACCCTAGTGAATGTACTGAATAAGTTTCTGCAAGGTACCCATTTACGGTACTGGTGAAAACTCTTTAGTAAAAATATCGATCAAGTACCTAAACAGACTGATTGGATGCCCAGTTATTGAAAAAGTTCTACTAAGGTATCCGTGCACATTTCAATGACCGTTTTATAATGCGTGATATACCATAAACACCATTTACTTTGGAAAATAATTTCTTTTCGCTAACATGTTGACAACTCTCTTGACATGCACAAGATCGAATTTTCTGCTACACAAAAGTACCATAGTAGGCAGGCACAGATTGATAGCCAATTTTAAAATAACTAATTAAAAATTGGCTCGATTATATGAAAATATGTCGTCAGGGTACTTTTACAGGTAGTCAGATAGCGAGCACTTGTTTTTTTACAGTGTAGGGTAGTTTTCTTACGCTGAAGACTTTTTGTTTCACTCCTTAGCGAACGATTGATTCTACGAAGCGAAGAGTGTGCTCAGACTACACTCATAATGAAATTATAAAGCATATTCGTTTAACAGCTTTTTCGCTACTAAAACCACCTTTATACTGTGTGACCGCCATGCATAAAGTAGCACTAGTACTAAGATGATCTGTTGCGAACAAAAATAAAATAAAAGAAAAAAGTAGGTCATGATGAACTTTTACTTTCTAAAAAGTGTATTAAAACAATTCTGATTTGGGTTATTTCAGTAAAAGACAAGGTTATGATAAAAAAATTAATTTTTTAAACTACTCTTTAATCAGTTATTGATCGGTGATTCTAACCCCAGTGCACAATTGACATTCACCAACAAAGACACTAGGAACTCCCACAAATGCTCCTAGAATTTATCATTTTTGAGAAACAAGAGAAATAATTGAAATTCCGCGAAAGGGTATCCGACATTTCCATTAACCGTTTTGTTTTGCAACTGTATGGTATACAGTGAGCACAAATTTATCACAGCATAATGTTGGTACGAATCAAACTTCTCTTTTTAACGTGAATAATAAACAGACTATAGGTGAGCTTCAAACGCTCAATCCTTCTTTTGCTTATACTACAAAGCAAGTACTATGAAGTTAAGCCACTATGGAAATTTCTGAAAAGTGGTTTAGGTCTTTCTGGCGGACATCGAATGGAGAACTAGCGATAAAAACTGATACTCTCTTTTAACTGAATTCCATGGTGTAAAAAGTTTGAACTATTTAGTAAAGAATTCGATTAAGTCATGAGACACATATATCTCTGATAACGTTTTGTTTTTTTAAACTCAAAATTTTTTCTCTCTTAGACAGACACACCCTTTTCTATTGAAATACAAAACCATCCCATATTGTATGAAACTATTTCATATTTCTTTTGAATTTTTTTCATTCTTATCTAATATAAAAATAATCAAATAAATTCGTGCCATTCCTTTTCTTTTAAACATCCATTAGGACATGCAGGTCAAAAAATCGGATGTGAATATCACGTGGCACATGCAATAGCACAATAACAACGCAAATAAAATAAAGTTTTTTTTATTGAGAAAAGTCGTTGGCAATTAACTGAGTGTCAGATTTCAGCTCAATTCGAAGGTTGAGATAGAAATAATACTATGATCTTTCATTAGGTCATTTTAATCTTCCATTAAACACAGTTTAATGATGCAATGTATACCATCTAATAAGTTTTAGAAAAGATCCTTGTAAAAAAAGTTAAAATTTTAGCTTACAAATTCTTTTTATTCATAGAATTCGCATCACATCAGTATTTATCATTTGGTCTGTGATTTTTCAGTAAGAGTTTTCTCAGTAAGAAGATGTTAAGCGTAATGAAAAAAACCTTTAAGATGGGAGTATGGATATAATTTTCGATTATTTTTATTCAAATAGAATAGAACAGTAGAAAAACAATATTTTTAGAAAAAACGCTTTTATAGCACCTGTTAATATTCTCACTGCCGATATATCTACCAGGGTTGCCAAGTGCAAAATCCGTTAAAATCGGAAAAAAATGGTATTGAAAATCGGAAGAAGCGTTTTTTCCGAATACCTTAACAAGGTAGAGATATTAGGTTTTTCCTGCTACAATAATACATGTTCGTTTTTTCAACAGAAAAAACACATTCAATAACAGTTAAAACAACCTATTATCTGAAGCATTGACTATTTTTTTTGACAACGGAAACAGTACAATCTTGTGATAAATATGAATGAACATGTTTAACGCCATGAAATACAAATGTTGCTTCAGTGGCTGATAATTCAGGGTGATAAGTCATCTAATTCAGTAAATGATGTAAAAAATGTTTCAAGTGAGTCTAGAATTCGTTAAGAAATACAAACAAAGCTTAAGAAAATAAATCCGAAGGAATTGGACTTCCTTTTTGTTTTGTTTTTCATAAATTCTTGATGTTTTACAGTGTCTACATGTTTATCTAGGTCGTTTTTGCCCCCACTATAAACCGAGATACCACAATTACACGATGAACAACGTGCTTTAGTAGGCTCATGACGAACTTCTTGTAAAAATTCAGAATATTTGGGATCTTTTAACTAATCTTTGCTACAAACACCTTTTTTGTGCCAGAAACACCGTTGTGCTTACGTTTTCCAGTGGTGTTTTGTGTTTTTCTATGTTTATTCTCAACTGAACCTAATGAAAAGGCATTCTCGGAAATGTCCCCTGCTATTGATGATGCCAAAAACCATAAGCATATATGACACACATAGAAAAAGAAAAAAAAGAACTGCTTTAAGTATGACATTATGTTAATCAGTTGAATTCTTTTAAGACTGTGTGCTTTTCAGAAAAAGTAAAAAGCTCCACAAATCGGAAAAAATCGAAAAGTCAAAATTCATTCGGAAAAGAAGTTCAAAATTGGGAAAATTCCGATAAATCGGAAGACTTGGCAACCCTAATATCTACTCACGAGGTAACCTTCCCAAGTGTCCAATCTCTTTTTCCTTAAAACATACACGATTGTGAGTAAGCTTTGATGCCGATCGCGAATCTAATATCCGTTTCTGCTGCTGGGTCTTTCTGGGGCGGGTGTCTGAAATCCGGGTGTTCGAAGATCCGCTATGAACTTCCAGCTGAATATATTTTGGCACTATCAGATTGTAGAGCACGTTGAGTTACCTATGTGGGAAAATGTTTAGAACCAACGAACAAGTTTTCGGAGAGATAGAAAAATTTTACTTTCTAATCCAGTAGAAACCAAAATATTTCAGGTTTTTGAACCCTAAAATTTTTCCATCTCTGCGAAAACTTGTTCGTTGGTTCTGAACATTTTCCCACATAAGTAATTCAACGTGCTCTACAATCTGACAGTGCCAAAATATATTCAGCTGTAAGTTCATAGCGGGTCTCCGGACACGCGGATTTCAGACACCCGCCACAGAAAGACCCAGCAGCAGAAACAGATATTAGATTCGCGATCGGCATCAAAGCTTACTCACGATCGTGTATGTTTTAAGGAAAAAGAGATTGGACACTTGGGAAGGTTACCTCGTAAGCTACAAATATATTTTGTTACTATGGCAACGACAGGCCACATATAAAGCAGATAACGTTTATTCGGCTATTAATCCAAGCGTTGGCAAACATAAACTACGTCAATGATTTAACCTTCCGTAAACAACATACTATTTCAATGTAGTTATAGTCAAATTTTTCCAGAAAGATACAAAATAAAATTCATTCAGTTTGTAAAAAACGTCCAGTAAGAAACGTTTAACAACACTATCATCTACTACCTATTTTTAAACTTTAAATAGCAGTTATAATAGAAAACTGGAACAGCTCAAAATTTATACTTGGAACAAACAGATTATATGCATGATAAGCTAAAATTCAATAGATTTAATACCATACCTCCAATTGAAGGTCTAAATAAAAAGCCACCTAAAAATTCATTATTGACACTATCTTTAAACTTTATTTCTAAGATTCTTCTCGATACGACCGATATTAGTCATAAGCCAGCAGCAGTGATTTATCTAGGTTTATTTACCAATGGGATCTATAAGTGGACGGAGAGGGCTACTATCTGAAGTGTTATTTTTTTGCCAAATCCGTTGTTAATTTTGGACATGACACACTGAAAAGCCGATGGGGAGCAGCCCATCCGCTAGATAAATCACTATCCAACAGAGAAGTTATCTCCTAACGGATACACGTTTTAGTGCTAAGAGTAAAACGTCGATTTCGCTATGATCTACTTGAGCATTCCGCTGTTAGATAACACACGAGAGAATCTTGTTCGAAAAGTCTCTTAATAGACAATATTAATTTGAGAAATTGATAAAATTTTTAATACAAGCGCTCCAACTGGTTAGATTGTGGGTAATACCATCTACCTACATTATTGTTTGTCCAATGTGTAACCAAACACATGCAAACAAATGTACAAGTGATTGACATGAGAATTCTTTATATTTTTTTTCAAAATAGATGCATTAAAATGATTAAAAAAAATAATACCAAACAAATGCAACAGTTCACATTGACATGTTCTAGTACATAAATTAAACAAAAAACAGACAATTGCTGAAGAGACAAACGAGTTCTGACTAATATCACTCTTTTCAAATAATATATATATTGCAGGTAAAAAATAAAAAATGCCTCGCTTGTGGAAGTCAAAAAAAAAAAGTATTATGAACTATTCGCCATGCTACTTTTAAACGTTCTCATAAAACATAAATAGAATTATTAAATACGTGAGTAAACATGTGTCGAATATATACCGAAGTGGAAGGATATTTTAATGGAAGTATAAGAATGACTCGTGTATATTCTGAAAATTCTCAAAAATAAAAGAGAATTTTGAGAGAGTAACAGAAGTATTCAACTACTCGCATACAGTTTAGCCTACAATAGTTTTAATTCTAACACTCCATCAGTTATCTGTCACATTTGGTGAATTTACACAATCCTTTGACAACAAGTAACAAAAAATTGAATTTTTTATTGAAAATAAATGTCATTTCCGACAATTATCATGAATTTTTTACTATATAGAATGTCTACATACACAATTTCTGATCACAATACACGTGCTAGAATAATGTTATTTTTTCTAAACTTTTGCATACAGTAGAAGGTATATGATGGAAATCGAGAAGATAAGTTTTCCGTTTACATATGAGCGATAAAATATGAACAACATCATCTCAATGAACAATTACATATATAAAATAATATTTTGGAGTGTTACGTGCACAAACATACAAAAACAGGGAATATGAAATTATGATAATAAAATAAAATTAAATGACATTTAAAAATAAGAATTTCAATTTAAAAACAAAAAGAAATAACAACAGGAAGTATAAACAATGTTCTCATTTGAACTCTTATTTGGAATTTCATGACGTACTAGTTTTCTTTCACCCTTTACTAACCACAATGTACACATCGATGAAGATTATAAAGCATTAAAGATATATTTCTATTTGCCTATTTCGTATCAATTGATTCCCATTCTCCATCATCTTCATTTGTCCATTTTGTTTCATCATCAAAATTAATCAAATTCTGCGTTTGTTTTTGTGGTTTTTTTTGACTGACTGTTTTTGATGCCGATGGAGGATTAACAGAGGAAGATACAGGTTGAGGCGATGGCGTTGAACGTTGCTGTTGTAATTTAGGTGTTATCGGTTTTTTCTGTTGTTGTTTCGGCTCAACTTGATTAATATCCTTTGTAGATGCATTGTCAGCGTTCAACCAAGACTCAAAGCTCACATCATGACGATCGTTCGTTACTTGTTGTTGAGGCGTTTGTTGTGGAATACTTGGATAAATATTTTGATAACCACCACCTCCACCACCACTATCGCTGTTGTATTGTTGTTGTCGATAGTCATCATTTAATACTGATGATGTATTTTTCTGATGTACCAGACTTGAACCTACAATGATGGAAACATAAATCTAATTAGCAAATAACCAAAATTACTGGTATTTTTGTATCTAAGATAAGTATCATTGTTGATTAAAATGTGTAAACTTCAAAGATGATTAATAATTAGTATCTCTATGAGTTTGAAAATGATGTTATTGAATCGATAATTCATTCACATACCCTCACTGTTTGACGACATATTATGATAATCTTTTCCTGCCCAGAGTGATTGCATATCACTCCATGTTTTTGTACTTAATTTTCCAACCGTTGATGCTATAGATGTAACACCTGTTTGTACATTGTTTATTAGTGTTCCTAGAAGAGGAAAAAAATTAGAAAACTGCTATTTTGACAAACAACAACGATATAAATAACATACCATCTTTTGCTTGTTCGCCAACGGATTTACCTAACTCCATACTTTTTTCAGCTGCCTGTTTTGATATTTTAAATACAGAATCTTTTGCAACATTTAGCCATTTACCACCAGTAACGCCTAATGCTGATACACCAGTTGATAATGATGATACGAGATCGGAATTATTTAATTTTTTCTGTTCGGATGGGTCATAGTTTGTATTTCCAAATCCCCAATATTTATCATCTTTATTACCTCCGCTTCCCCGACTCGAGGTATCAGTATTACTGTTGTTATGATAAGAAAAAGAATTACCGTATGAATCATTGTCATTATCCGAATAATTTTGATAGCCACGATCAGCTGCATTATTTTTCGAAGAGGAAGTCGACTGGAATTGAGTCCATTCATTTGAGGATGATTGAGACTACAAAAAATTTTGATCAACTAATGAAAGTAGAATGTGAGTTTTCAAACTTACTTTGGGTTTATTTTCGTATGTTGACGAGCTGAATGAAGTATGATTTTGAGCTGGCGAACTATTGATATCCCATGATTTTCCTTGTGATTCTGTTAATATTTTATCACGATACAGTGCAGCTGTTTTTGAATTGTATTTCTGTTGTAGTGTCATTGCTGAAGAATAATCGTCTCGTTGTGAAAAAAATTCTTTTGCTCTTCGATTACCCCCCACTTTCATTTTTTCTAATTCAAGATCTTTCCATTTATCCATGGTTACGGAACGAACAAAGCTTAAATGCACACCGAGTCCACGATGTTTTCCCGAACATTCAAGACAGATGAAAATACCGATAAAAGACAAAACAAAAAACAATAACAGTAACCATTAAGTTACAATTCTATTTCACTTACCATAACTGACACTAACCCTAGAACAAAAAGAAAATATTTATTAAAATAGTGATTTTTTGAAAGTTTCTTCTTACCATTGGGGATTCATTGCTCCACATTCGAAACAAACGTTGTTATCGTCTTTTAATTTTAGATCTTTAAGTATACTGCGAGTACGTGGACTAGCCATTGTCTATGTCGGTATTTACAATGGAAGAAAAGAAACAGTATACTTAAATAGAGTTTGTATCTAAAAAAAACACGTGTCCATTTTCGATATTGTTACACACTTTTCTCAATATGTTACTTGAAATGCTTGAGTACACGACGACTAAGTATCTGTTTATTTTAGATACATTCAAAACCTTCTTCACGTTTTAAGTAATATCTAAAATTTCCACGAAAAAACGATGCGATAAATGTTGTTATCCAACAACGCTACGAGTAAACTTCTTAGACATCTGCTTCAACGCTTTTTCTGTATCCATCACATATGGGTAATGAGCATACTGCCAACAATCATGCGAGATTCGATGCTAGCAATGAATACTAATGCTGCATAGGTGACAGACTCGAGAGGCTTAAGAGTCTCAAGCTTTTTCTGATTTCCACCATGAGAGGCTTAGTCTCAGTTGTTTTAGGGTTTAGCATTTCGTTCAAACACGTGATTTTGACCGATACATACAAAAAGAGAATTGATTCTCCCGACAGTATTTTGTTAAGTTTTCCATCAAAGAGTTTTGGTACTTTTCAGATTTGAGTTTTTTGTTGATTTATCTGTAGTTTTATATCGTGTTCAAAATAAGATAGGCTTTAATTCAGTATTGTGGATACAGCAGCTAATTTAAATCATATTTATGCGATTTAAATTAGCTGCTGTATTAATATCTACAATATTGAATTTATTGCTCCGTAAAAAAAAAAACTTTAATTCTGCTTGAACGCTTCGGTAAAAATTCGATGGGAAAGGAGAAGGAAATATTTTGTGCTCCACCTATTTTTGAAACGTCTGTCGTCTATGCTAGTTTTGAAAGATTATTTTATGAAAGTGATAATAAATATAACCGTTACTAGTAAACGAACAAAGTACAAATAAAGTGAGAATCAGATAACTAATGTCTAACTAAAGTCTAATCAATATCTAATGTCATGCTCCTCAACTTCATGAAAGCGATGTCTACTTTTGAGATAATATCAGAAATGCCACGTTTGAAAACTAGAACAAGGAATTCATTCTTACAACTTTATTCCACAGAAGAAAAATTCTGCAAATAGCAATAGATAAGTATGTAACAGTGGATATGTACTGTCTCCTATCGTTTAGAATCAACGATAATCCGTAAACGGATTTGATCATCACTATAATAATTGAAAACTCCGTTGCTTCAAATAACCATTCAATTGAAAAGTGAAGATTATCTGAAGTGAAGTTGAATAGATGGAATCCTGCCTTAAATTAAAGGGCTTTCAACGATGGGCGATTAAATGGCTACTATGCTTGTGTCATTTCGATCAGTTCTAATACTAAACCATGATGGGACCCAAATGAACGTCAGACATCTTAAACTTGTTGAAATCCTGCAAACATTTTTCATCTGCTAAATCACCATAAAGACGAATATCTTTGCCATTGATCACTCTATTTAAACAAGAATTAAGGACATGAGACGAATGGTATATATCATGCAGATCTAAATATTCACGTAAATCTAGGACTATGCCGCAGGTGATTACACTTCAGATTTTGATACAGATATTCCTATCTAAAACAAGACGATGTTGAAAATATGTTATTCCGTCTGAGAACTGAGCCCCAATGGAGATCCCGCAAGAACAAGATGGTGGTCATTTGCCCACTTGCTTCTTTATCACAAAAGAAATCTGTATTCACAACACTCTTGTTGCATAATTTGTTTTCAAATAAAAATATAGAATCAGTTATACATTTTGATAAAAGTAAAGACAATAATAAAAGAGAAAAACAACAAAAAATTCATGAAAAAAACAAACACATGCATCCGAACCATAGAGCGCACAAAATATACAATCTACGACAATTAAGTAGTCGTATAAATTACACAAAAAACTTGAAAAAATATAGAAAACAATCAAAAAGAGAAGCTAATCATTTTCTTTCGATTGTATTGTAATGTCGTTCGACGCCGTTGTTGCTGCTGTATCTGTTAGCTGCGTGTTCGAAGATAATGCTTGAGTTGTGGGAGCAGCAGTAGACGATGATATTTTCCGGTTTTCATCTTTTGAACGGCCACCTGACCGTTCTCCCCTGTCTTTTTCTCGGTCGCGTTCATGTTCTTCACTGTCATGCCTAGATCGTTTTGATGACTTTTTATGCTTTCGATCACGTTCGTCTCCTTTTGAATGCCGCGAAGACGATTGAGACGCTTGTTGTTGTTCATCATTGTTATCTGAAGGTGTTGACGTGGTGATTTTGGGCGGAGAAGAAAACGTCGAAGTATGAGATGTTTGAGAATTTCTGTGTCGGTGACTGGACGATGTACGTTCATAGCGTTCATCTTCAGCATGATGTCGTGATTCTTCTCGATAATGCCGTCTAAACAGAAAATTTATAATGAGGACTTCCTACGACAGTGTCTCAAGTCTCAACCATGGCACATTGAAATCTGTCAAAGCAGAGCTGGAATCGGTTGAGTTTTATTCAACTGGACTGATCGGTTAAAAATACGCCTAAACCGATGAAAAACCGGCAGGTTTCTAAAAGCTTTTTAACCGATAGAAAATCGGCAACGGATTTCGCAAAAAGGTTGCTGGAAACTCACTTTTCTTGCAGCAGAGTCGAACAGAAACAACTCACATAAACCAATTTGTTAAAATGTAGCACGAAAACATTTTTCACGAGCTGAAAAACGACATTTCAACGAACGACAACTTTCATGGTAAACCAGTGATGTTTTCTTCAGCCTCAACCGGTAAAAAACTGGTGTCGACCGACTGGTTGACTGGCTAGGGTGCCGGTTCCAGTTCTGTGTCAAAGTTGCTAAAAAGACTTGAACTAATACACAAACACTACGCTTACTTCCTAGGGTAACGTTCATATTTTTCATCTCTATCTCGCGATTTAGATTTTCTTCGTCGTTCATCATCCCTATCATCTCTTGGACGTTCATATTCGGATCGTTCATATTCACGATGCCTATAACGGTCTTTTGGCGATCGTCGATCACGATCATAATCTCTGCTAAAAGAAAATAGATAGTTTATATACAAAAAGACTACTCGAAAATAACATGCCTACCTATATTTTTCTTTATGTCGATCTTCTTTTGACTTTTCTTCTCGACTTTCCTCAGGTGTTGAACTCCTCGATGAATGATCTTCTGGCGTTGCACTACGTGAAGATCTTAAACCAACATTGGCTGGATTGTGTGATGATGGAAAATGATAACCAACAGTTGCTGTAGATAAAGTTCTAAACATAAACCAAAACAACAATACTGATGTATTATGGCACAGCCCACATATTATTCGTTATTCAATGATATACCTTGTCCGCAAAATTAGCCAGACTTATTCTTAGATGCTCAGTGTGCGAAAATAACAATGGCTCTTCGGATGATATTCTCTCTGCTTTATCAATCCGATTACGATGGTGAACATTTTCTGTCTTTGCATACCCTTTCCTCACGTGAATGATGCCGATTTTTTCTACTTTACTAACTGGTGACAAGCTTTGTTTTTTTCAAGCTTGTCAAGTTGTCAATCAATCAATCAATATCAATTGAATCAAGTTGTCAGTCTCTTTGCAAAGCTTTCTCGATCAGCTACGAAGCTGAGCTTTGTATTTTTTACATAAATAATGACTGTAATAAACAACAACAAAAAAACAAATCTTTTAAAAAGCCCGCAAACTTCGATAGAAACGTTGGTTCTAAGACATTTTTTGGTGTCACTTACTGTTCCCATGGCTGTTGATGACGTGGAATAAAATAAGGACCATCAACAGGCACCGGAGGTCTAAAATCAAATAGAAATATGAAAAATAAGAAAACTACTAGTCAATATGATCTAAGGTTCTATTATGACTATATATTTTTTTAAGAGATCGATCGATCTTATGATTTAATAATAACTTGTTCTTTTAACATTTATGACAACAATAGTGAGCAGGAAATAGACAGATTTTATTGAAATTGTATATAGCTTGCTGATCTTTATGTACCTTTCATGTGGCATAACACCAGAAATTGGTCCTCCATAAAACGGATGTTGTGGTGGTGGACCAAATTGAGGATGACGAAGCATTGGTGGACCCATTGACATGCCAGGCATTTGTAAACGATGTAGTCCTCCAACGGATAATGTTGGAATTTGATGATGTTGAGGTGGTGTACCATGTTGTGACAATTGTTGCTGCTGAATAGAATTTGGCGTAACGTTTGCCATTGCTTGCGATGCGTTAAAGCCGGGTGGCGGTGTCGTTAAATCAGGAATAGATGAATTTGGACCAGTTGGAGTAGGATGAGGCGTGGGTACATTATGCGCTGGTCGACTGTAAAAAAAAGTTTTCAGCGAATAAAATAAATAGTAAAAGTAAATTCAACATACTACTGTGGTCCATTCATAAACTGCATTGGAGCGTGATCATAGCCAGTTTCAAATGTTGGACGGCGTGATGTTTGATCAGTAGCTCCTACACGAAAAATATAAATTTATTCAATGAAAAATACGTTGTATGTATGAAAATTTGTTACCAATAACGTCAATTGTGCCCATTTGTTTTTTCATTTGAACAAATGGTCTTATTTGTTTATTAACAAGTGTCCCGATTTGTCCGCCAATTTGTGGAATATGTTGAATCTAAAGAGGGAAAAGTCTAAATGAGCAAATACCGACATACCTTATACAATAAATTTTTAAGAAGAAAAAAGAGAAAGGATGTTTTTACGTTTGATGTTGCATTAATTCTAGCCAAATTATTTTCTGCTCTTAGTCGTCGTTGTCGATCACAATATTGTCCCCACGTATCCTCAGTAAAACCATAGTTAAAATAATCAGTTATATCAGCACCTTAAAGAAAATATAAAATCACAAATTATTTATTTCTAGAGAGTAAAGAAGCACTGTACACACCAGGTTTTTTCCATGGTTTTTCATCGTCTTTGAATGTAGCCGATAAATCATGTTCAAATGTAGGTATTCCATTGATTTGTCCTTGAGCATCCAGGTCAACACCCTTTATAGGCAGTTTTCCACCTAAGCCAGCTAAATAACAAGCGATAAAATATCATACTGTACTCATCTATTCAAAGAAACAATTTAACAAACAATTCAGCGGAAACTTGTATGTCTTCGTTAGAAATACGTACCACCCATGGATGTTCGGTTCTGTTTTGGTGTTTGATAAATTGACGGCGATTTAAAATCTCTAATCATTACTTCTATTTGATCATCATCATCATCTGAGTCCATTACATTGTCATCTGTCATTAATACAACGCTTTTTTTCTAAAAATAACGATGTATATCAACGACAGATAAAATCACATCAGTTTCATACTCGTGAATTCATTTCATCTGTTGTATCCTCATCAGTCGACGGTGCCAATGCGCTATCTCTGAATAAGAATAATATAGCACATTTAGCATTTTTTGACGCTACTGCCTATGTAATTTTACCCAACATCTTCAATTTTAATTTTTGAAGGACCATTGCCTATAAAGACAAGTAGAGATTCGTTCATATCAACTGCTAAGGTTAAATGCACTTACCTCCATATAGCCACGATTCATCGTCTTCATTGACATTATCTGATACATTATTTAGAAAAGATTGAGTTCTCTGAGAGTTATTGCTAATACTTTCATTTATGGACCTTGATGATGTTAATCCGTTTGTGACTGGTATCGGCAAACTATCTTCGGTGCCGGCCATATTTCACTCTGTCTACAAATAGAACAATACTGTTACGAGCATAAATTTCATTAGCAGAAATAACTTCAAATTTCTAAAAATAAGGTTAACCAAATACGACGCTTATAAGTAAAGTTCCGGCGTGACGCGACGACTTTGCACATAATATCAATACGTGTTGAAGCAGCTAAAAATTGACATCAAACATCGTACTCTTATAAACTGTTAGATATTATGCACGAAATCTCGGAGCTTTGCGGTTCAATAAAAGCAGAAATTGATGTACAATATCGAGAAAACAGTCATCAAAGACTGCGAAAGACTGACAGTCTGAATAAAATGAGATCAGAACAAACAAGACCCATTAGGAAAAGTATGTCATAGGTTGAGCAGGCATCATCTCAGCTCAGTCTGTCGTCATAAGACTAAACCAAGAATAAATTCAGCTGCGACATGCATAGTTCTATTACAATGTCAGGCCATGTCAAAACATTTGCATTCTGAAAGAATGCAACAGACATTTGTACCAATAATATTTTGACCACGCGTAGCTATTGACTGATCAATGCCTTCGTAGTTAACAAATAAAAAACGTATGTTGTGCCATAATTTAAAGTATGCCGACTCTTGACCTCACAGGAAGGCAAATATCGAAAAATCCATAACTTTTGTGACTGAATATAAAATTGCGTTTATTTTGACTGGGAAGCGTTTGTCTGAGGAGGATCCTATGAGACAAAATGTAAAGAATAAAATTCTACACAAGGTCATGACTCTTAGTGTCCCAAAACACTCCGTTTTCGAGATAAATCGAATTTAATGTTTTTCAGCAACGAATAAATGTGGAGTATGTTTGTATTGGGAGCATATTCTTGAATTTATTCAAACTAAGAATGCCAGACCGTGCAAAAGCATTTACATTCTTAGGGAATGCAAACAGTGTTCTAATAGCAAAGCGTACATACGCTTCGGAATTTAAAAATACGCTCTGTTTTACGCTTTACTGAGAAAGGTTTGTTTTTTTCTCTTTTGTTCTGTTGTTTTCGTATATTTCAAATAACCTTTAAATAGTGAGTAGTCAGATAGGAAAAGAGACTTTTTCTTATTATACAAGATCAGTTATGTTTTCCTCTATTTGTAATCGCCTGTGTCTGCAAAGTTGCTTTCCAGGAAAAAAACCTGTATAAAGAAAACTTCTATTTTTCTCCTCTAATCCCTGATGCCCAACTGATGCTTCTTTTTTTAGATTCGAAACGTGTACGCTTTGCAAAAAAAACCAGAGCGTACACGTACACTCAGCGGATAAATTTTGTTAGAAATACTGAATGCAAATGCTTCGACACTTATACTTTAACAGGTCTAGACATGCATGTGAGTGGTTATTCATTCAATCACTTGGTCAAGATAAACTAGCGATAAAGTAAACCGTCAAAATTGCTGAATTATTATTCCAGATAGAGAAATTGGATTTCATCTCAGATTTGAAACTTTGCCGGTACAGCACGATCTGATCTGAAGTAATCTGAAGTTTGAGCGTTATATTAAATATTGTTTCTTTTCTGACATATTCGACGAACAAACAGTTTTTTCTTTCTGTCTATATTAAACCCGATTCTTCGACCGTAGTAGTAGTGATCATCTACTTAGACTAGTAATCATTTCACGGTTACGCGACTACGAACACCTAAATTATCCGAACGCATTCATGTCATGCGCGTTCTATATTCCCTTCTGCGTGAAGTGCTGATTGGTTGGTTGACGTATTACATTGACTAGTTTAACATGCCTTTACTCAACTCTATAAATAGATGTCAGGAAGAAAAAACCTCGCGGGCAAGTTCAAAAATTCATGACGGTAGAGTATGCATACTCTACAAATATTCTACACTCTATATACACATGTGTATATAGAGTGTAGAATATTTGTTACTGAGATGGAGTCTTATATTAGATATTTTCCAGTAGGTTTCTAAACCTTCTAATGATGCACAGTTTTCTGAATGCCTTAAGCAAAGGTTTAATTTAGTGTAGGCTCATTTTTTCAAAAATTCAGAATTTTCTGAAAATTCAAATTTTTGAAAGACAGACTGTCGGAAAGTGTATTTTGTTCCTTGTTTTTTCAAATTTTGGTAATGGTTGTAGATATAGATCGACGCTAACTGAAGTCGTCTCTTAAATTAGTCGTTTGTTGATTCTCATTCTTCTTGCTGATATAATATTCAGTCTGTTTTGATTATCTAATAGTCTTTCGACCAGTTGGGGTTACTTTATCAAATACAACTGGAGATGCCAGGTGATGGGCGGATGTTGCTATTTCTTTCGCTATCCGCGGTAACGACTAGAAGGCGGAATATAAATCTTTTTTCAAAAGTTCCCATACTTCTCCTTGAACTCAACTAAATAGATACGTCCATTCTACATTAACGAATAAATACTAATAAACTCTGCTAAGTCAATTCATACAGAGTTTCCTGCTTCATAAAAAGTGCTGCTGCAAATTTCCTTTTGAAAGATTTTTCATCACCGGTCGCTTATCGACTACAATGTCTAAAAATACGATAGCAAAAAATGTAAGTATATGTGAAACGCATTATTTACCTGAATCAACCGAGTTCGACAAAATCTGGAATAGATCTCGCGCAAAATCATGAAAGATCTTAAATCTTATTTCAAGATGTTATAAAACTTGACAAAATCCTACAAAATGTTCTAAGAAATATTTCTGAGTTTCTTGTATTGATTTTACGAGATCTAGCGACAATAACTTCACAAACTTGCAGCACCTTCACAATACCAAATACAAGAACTCAGTAAGATCTTATAAAAAATTCATATGAACAACCAAACTGATATGACTGCTTTAGGTTTGCTACCAAACCTCTATTTTTCCCTGTGTTTTCTTTTTTTGGTACATTCCAGCATAATTTGGTTCCGGACGAACTAGCATTGTGGCGGTATAAATCTGAAAACGTTTTCTAGGTGCGGTACTCATGATCCAGTTGCAGCAGAAAATATTGAAAGCTACGACCAGAGATGAGCAGCTCTGACTCTTTCTCGCTCCAGCTCCGCTTCTGCTCCAGGCATTTTTGAGTCGCTCCGCTCCGACTCCGCTCCAACAAGAAAATTTCTGCACCCGCTCCGCTCCAACCAGAAAATTTTCGTTCCAGCTCCGTTCTGACTCCACTCCCGCTCACTCTACCTCCGCTCCAGCTCACTCCAGCTCCGCTCCGACTTCGCTCCAGCTAAAAATAGTTTTCATCTTATTAGAAAAGCACATTTTTCGCATTTCTTTGAAGTAGCTTTGCAATAATCTGCGGGTTTCATATTCTCTTTCACAGCATATACCGAATATCAACAAGAAAATTTTTATGTAAAATAGCTTTAGACCACAGATTGATCTGCAGCATGAAATAAGACTAGTGGAAAAAGGGAAGTGTTGATTACATTTGAGTAGAGTCAACATAGCGAGTATGTTGTTAGAGGGTTGGCTGACATGGATTCGCCTGAACATCCCACCGGAAGAAAATATGACAAAGAAATATCGACTGCGATGAATAGTCAACGATAAGCTTTCCTGTGACTGATGGATCTATCATCGTTTACAGACACGAAGGGAAAAATGGAGCTATGGCGGAGCGCTAAAAGAAAGAGCCGCTCAGACTCCGCTCCGACTTCAACTCTCATAAAACGTTCACTCCAGCTCTGGTAATTTTCATCAACCGATCCGCTCCGGAGTCGGAGCTGCTCATCTCTGACTATGACATATAGTCTCGGATGGTTTTAGATAAAAAGAGTTAAGTAGAATGATTTTTTATTACTTTACGTTCGTTACCATATTTTGGAAAATGAAAAAGTAGCTGTTGAAGTTTATGTTTAGTTCAGTATTATAAAATCACAAAATCTATACTTTCGCCTGTTCAATATTCATAACACATCTTTTCCGACTCACACTGCGCTCTATCTCATCACTACTCGCCGGGATAGCTCAGTTGGGAGAGCGTTAGACTGAAGATCTAAAGGTCCCTGGTTCGATCCCGGGTCACGGCATAACTTTTTTCAATAACAATTAGACAATAAGAGTTCTGAAGAAAGTTATTCGTTTTTCAAAAGTCGGGGCATGTTTTAAAGTTGTTCGCAATCTCTTCCCTTCTCATTAAGTCTTACGTAGTTTAATCAACCAATAATGAACTGAATGTAATTTCAAAAAATTTAATTTAGTTCAGGATTGAATATTACTTTGGCACTGCCTTCTAGTGGTTTGTCGGCCTTTTTTTAAACGCGGAGTTCATTGTAGTAGTACGTCACGTCGTTTTAATGCGATAAGTAATAGTTGGTTCTGACTGATGACTGATGATCACACAGTGGGCATTCAGGCGGACATTAGGTGGAAAATTGAAAGTGCCCTTTTTGACGATTCCAACAGTGCTACATATACTTCAAACTACCGACTATTTAATCACATAAAAATTTTAGTTCCTCGTGTCATAGTTAGCCGGAAAATATATAGCGAAAAATCCGTCGAAAAACCTCGCACAATACATCTGTACGAGTAGCATAAATGATCCAAGACTAGTTATAGGTTTTCCAAAAAACTTGAATTTTCCAGTTAAATACTTCCTTTTCCGACTCCAAAGTAGAGATACACAACCGATCCGTACCCGACCCGAAGTTTGGATACGGGTACGAAGTTGTCGGGCAGAGCACTTTCGGGTACGCGTTCCGGTTTTTTTAATTTATCCAAAAACCGGAAGCTTTTAGTAGAAAACCACAAAATTTTAGTGAAGAAAAGACAAGATCTTAGCTAAAATGCATGAAGTTTTAAAAGAGTTCCTTGAGAAGGTAATGATAACTTGACATCTCCAGCCGAAAAACAAAAGTTTTTAACTTGGAAACGAAAAGGAGAAACTTTTTAGGTATAAGTCGGGTACGGGCGTTTTTATGAATACAAAGTTCTCGGGTCTGGTCGGGTACGAATGAAAAAAGATTTTTCGGGTCGGGTACGGGAAAAACGGTACCCGTGC